CAGTGTAACTTCAAATAAGTAAGTTTTAGTTTATTGCCTTTCTTCAGCTTCTGCTTTAATTACATAAAAATATTAACAGTTTAAAAAATACTGTTTCACAAAAGAATCATTTAAAAATAAATGTTTACTAAACTAATATATTGTATTATAAAAAAATCATAATTCCTTACTTATACTCATGTACGCGTCAATTATAATAAGATTCGGTAGAAGAACGGCATTATGACCATTCGTTCATTGTTCGTCATTCATTCCATTCCGTGCAAACATCTGCCTACGATACGCCTCTTGCTGGTTTTGTGCGAGCTTTCTTCGCCTTTTCTTATCCATGTCGATTCAATGTTGATTTTTTATCTGTGCGCTCTAATTTTGATTTGGAATAACTTTTAATACTTTCGTATATTTTGTTCTTAACAGTTTAAAAGCGTTCAAAATAATGATTAAAAAGTCAACACCCTTCAAACACCCGCATATGTACTTTAATAAGTGGCAATTATTTTTTTCTGAATAAATATGGCGCCCAATAATGCGGGCCGCGATCACCCTTTACTTTCAATAAATCGTAATCAAATTCGTCAAGCGTACTGAAATCTGGAGGGGAATCAATATATTACTACGACAACGTATGTAGTCTGTCAATATTTTGAATATATTTTCGGATGCCATCAGCTTTTGAGATTTCAACTATTACATTCACTTAGTTGTAATAATAATTTATATATTGCTTTATGTTTTTGCACTATGCATAAATCTGATAAAATTTATTCGAAACTTAAATCTAGTTCGAAATTTAAAAATACAAACGTTACCCGCTCCACATTTTAATAAAAATGTTTTTTATTACTGGCCAGTATTGTTTCATACAATCTAACACGTATCAATGACATTTCTATGTGGCCAGTTATTCGATGCATTAATTTCTATTCGACGTAGCACAGTGGCGCCGCGCCGGCAGCGCATTATGAACGTTCATTACTGCTGATGGAACATTGATTTAGCGGGTCAAATCTGTTGACATTACCATCAATACTATTTAAGCTACTAAATATTGTTCTTCATGAGATCTGATTCGTGAAAACATATTGCTACGATGAAATTGGAGTGGAATGATTTAGAATATTAGTCTAATATTTAAAGGAAATTTAGGTCAAGAATTCGTCGGTTTGATTTATAATTATTGTGTCTTATCACGAGGTTTGTATTTAACGCGTTTTATGTAGTTATAGCAATAGTTTCCCATTAAATTTTTTGATTTGTTGCTCGTTTTGTATTTCATTCATTCAGTCATCGCGTTCATTCATTAATTCGACATCATTCAGTTCGTTCAGCGCGTGTTTGCGGCCACCGTCGGGGTCGTTTCAATTAAACTATATTACATTGTTACTTCGGTCGCTGGGCGCAGGGTTAATTGCTATTGGGCCGTCTTAGAATGATCTTTGGTCTCGAAAAATAATGTTTATACACCTTTTTATTTCTTGTGTTATGCATTGACGTAATAAATTACAGTGATTTTACTATACGCATTTAATTAACAGATACTTTTATCACGTAAAGCGCATTTAATTACAACTTATTCATTTATTAAAATAATGCCGAGGTTAACTTTGTAAAAGAAAGTTTTAGCTGAGATTTAGAAATTATTTTATAAATACAATCATACATTCTGATAATATATTAAAGGAAACATAAATAAAATCAAAAAATTACATTTAATTAAAAAGAAACATTCAGGTCATAATAATAAAAGCGTTCCTATTACGTATAATAATTGCTATTAAAAAGGTCCTATTACGTGTCATAGGATGCGTTCCCATACGGTAAGTTCATTTAAAGACGCGTTCAGTTCATCAATTAGGAGGTTTTATCAAAAGCAGCTGGCAGTTAAGATGGTCATAGCAATTAGTTGGAAGTGAGCGCAATTACTATTGCGTCACCCGCCACCAGGGGGCGTGGTTGTGTTACAATTAATATGACAACATTTTAGTCGCTCTATTTCAGGTCATCTTAACTTTGGTTATTATTTGTCTATTGCAGTTGTTATTTTACTAATGGAAAATTAAATAAATATGACTATCAAACACAATTATTATACAGATATTATTTACTTTCGCTCGCGAGTTTTCTGCAAGAAATAAAAATATAGCTATATAAATATAATATAATATATAATAATAAAAATATAGGGATAGTGTATCTTGTTAATAGTAAAAGAATTTTTCAAATCAATTCTGTAATTTCGGAGCCTATTTAACACAAACAAACGACTAAATGTCAAATCTTTCCTCTTTACATCGTACAAATTAGTACGTACGTAATGAATTTACCAAACTTATTTTTCCAATCGTACACAATTTGCTGTCGGTACACAGTAAGTGGTTTAATTTCAATGACGCATCAGTCCGATACATTGTATAAAGAGGCCACTCGATTGTAGCAATTATAATTACTTGTGGGGCCTTGAAGACTGATTCTTTAATCTGGAACATTCGTTATTATACCTTATAGTATGTTAAAGTGTAAAAAAAAAATAGTATCTACAGGTAGCTTTAGAGCGTGCGCACAAGTGTTTACTCTCGCTTTCATTCCTATAAGTTTATATGGAGGTGCGCACACTACTCGATTTTTAGTTGTGCAACTATAGTTGTCTAAATAAGATAGATTAGTTTGATAAACGACGCATATGAAGTATCGAATTTAATTTGTATGAAGGTAAATGCCATACTTAATAGACAGGTATCGTAGTGACAAATAAAACACACAGAGCGAACAATTTTGAACTGTCGATATTCGATTTAAATAATTATCAAACTCAACTAAAATAGTTATTTTCTTAGTCAATAATTTAGAGGACAATTCAAGTATTAATTATAGTGTAGAGAATTTAGCGTGACCGAAGTAATAGCGAAATCCAATTCGATTACGTACGGCTTTAGTAGTAATAAACATTTAATTACTCTCATTATTTATTATGGTCATTATTAATTTGAGAAAACAGCGTTTTTTAAAATTCATAAGTTATAACTATAAATCTATCGATTCCAACTTCTATACGAATAAAAATCGAAAATCGATAAAATTCATGACATACACAACCCATCCCTACAAATTTAAAATGAATTGTCAAACTAACCTACATTATTTAGACACACTATAAACAGTTGAATTGCGAAACAATCGACAATCGAACAGTGTGCGAGAGTTTAGTCAGAGGTGTGCGTCCGCTCTAAGACAAACTTGTTTGTCAGTAGTTTTTCAGTCTTAACTGTTACTAAAACTTCTGTACAAATATGCACAGTACAATAAGATATAGTAATTATGAAAAACGCTCTAATGCGACATCTGTTTCGGATAATGACCCTTTTGTTTGTTCGAGTCATTTCTTCCTTGCGTATAACAATAAAAAAATATTAATGTTACCTCGGATGTCAGCCAAATGTACCGAGGGTACACTAATCGCATTAAGACGGTCTGTGTTCACGGTCTATTATACTGATACATTTTTACTCCGAGGGTAGGAAAGGATTATTGCGGGAATTTGGTACTTCCTTATTGTCGTAATTCAAGTTGTAGCGTTATGGAATTTGGGTAAAAAAATTGTAGTTATTAAGATTAAGTGTGGCTAAAAAGGTAGAAAGTGAAGAAAGTATGGATGGATTGTGTGAAAGAATATGCTTAAGGGAGTGACTTCAGATATGATGGTTGATAATTACCTATGGAAATAGTACATACTGTGCCTCTGTAGGATAGGTTGATGACCTTTTTCTTAAAATTATAATTTACTACCTTTCGCCCGCGACTCTTCTCTAAACTTTGGCATTCATAATATTAGTATGATTTTAAACTTGTCACTTATCAAAAACAATTAATTTTAAACAGGAATAACGTTAAAAATGAAAGAATATTTAAAACAAAAAGACAAATAGAAAAAGGGGAGCGTTCTTGGAGATAGTTTAAAAAGTTTTCGATAAAGCATTTAAAATAGCTTAATTGATTTGTACTTAAAATTTCGTAACCACAATACGTGGCTGACATTGGACGTAAATTCAGACATACTTAGTACTTTAAACGCGCTAATAACTTACAAATATTTTAGGTCAATAGGACAATTAACACAACACAACATAAAAGACAAGATACTATAAAGTACGAAGTTGTAAACACGTAATATGTCATGAGGTCAATAATTTGTCACGTGAGTGTTAATAAGCTTTCCTTAATATTGCGCAATATTTATTGCCCAATACAAGTATTTCTATACTAATGATGTAGAATTTAATGTAGCGAAATGTTTTCTATTATGTTACGTCTTATTTTTATCACGACCCTAATGTAAAAGGAAATGAAGCGATCATTATAATTGAAGGAAAATGTTCGTTGTTACGTTAATATTTATTATTGTTGTTTTTTTTTTCTTTTAAATCTATTCTTCTTTTATCTATCAATCAAATTGTTGATACAATCGTAGATATAAGACTATTAATTTGCTTGCGAAATTACCAATTAACAGTGGTAAAGCCCGCTTCAACATCTTCGCACGAATGGGCCGCCTCGTCCGGTGTAATACCACGACCACACAGAAAACAGGCGTGAAGTGGAAGCAATTTCGCGTTTCGTCTGATGGGTATGGTGCCGGA